ACCCTTATTCCTCGGCTGGGATCGTGTAGAGCCCTTTGAAGCTGCATTGAAACTGCAATTTGGAAGTTCAAATTGTTGAGCATCATATAAGTCCATTATATGGAGACAAATCCTGGAATGCCTTGCTCAATAAACTTAATTTCTTTGCGACTGAAGAAAGAAAGACATGAACATCTTGGATGACGTGGGGGTGAGTACATTTTCAGGAAATTTTTATTCTGGAAGTGAACTAATCCTTTAAAGCAAATGCAAATATCAAAATTATATTTGCTGTTGCTATGACAACTTCAGCTTCTGAGAACTGCTGCGTGTTGATTTTATTTTTCATGTAATTGTAATTCCCCGAAATGCATGTATTGAAATATTATACATTCTACAAATGATAAAATTGTGCTAGATTATGAATTTCGAGGAAAAGAGGCCTTTGATCTCTCTTATGAAAACAGACTGTTAATGATTACTATTAGTGATTTTCAAGATAAAATTCTGTATAACGCATAACAGTGACTCTAAAATATGTATTTAGGTTTGGGAGTGTCATATGTTGAGTTTTGATATTTGGATAGAGTCACTGGGCTTGGTTTGTGCTATTTTTGATTGGCCTTTGGGCTAGTTTTGTTACACAGACCTGGCACCCCTTGTCCTGTAGTGTGTTTTGTGCAATATTCCATTAGGATTTAATTGGTTTTAACATGCTACCGGTAGAGACCCACAGCCTGTGGGCCACAGGCAGGGCCGCATTAACCATTGGGCTAGGCGGGGCTGAAGCCCCGGGGCCCGGACAAGGAGGGGGCGTTACCTTTAGAGATTAAAAAGTAACGTTTGAATTTGGTTTACCAATCAAATGCATTTATTCTATATTTTTACTTTTGAACGACCCGTGCACCACGTATCAATCAGGTGATCGCTGCGATTTTAAAAATCATGTTTTTTATTATGATGTCATGTTATTTTGTCTTTTATTGTGTTAGTTAGCTGTATTTTTTGTTATTTTTTTTTACTTAATCAAAATAACCCAACTGCAGTTTGATCGAGAATAATTGGAATGCACAATGAAAAAACATCATTTTGGCAGGTGAGTTTTTATTAGGGTTGGAGCTGAGCTCTGCAGGACTGCGGCTCTCCAGGACCGGAGTTCGCCACCCCTGCTCTATATATATATATATATATATATATATAGCTTTAAATAGGATTATTATCCTATCAAAATTAGGAGTATAGTTTTGATAGGATAAAAATATATATTATATCAAAATATCAAATATCAAAATATATATTATATTTGTAATAGGGGGCCCTGCAGTAAGTCATAGCCCCGGGGCCCAGTAAGGTCTTAATGCGGCCCTGGCCACAGGGACCATTGCAGTTTCCATTAAAACCAATACAATTCCCATTATAACAATTAAAACGATTACAAATTTTAAAAGGGTTCCCATTGTTTGTTTTTTTTTGTTTTTTTTTCAACATACGTTAGCTTCCCCTTTAACTGTGTCCAGTTGTGTTGTGTGAACTCATGATTCTTTGTTGTAATTGGTGCATTAGCACTTCTATCATTCTACCTTTTCCAGCCCATTATCGACTGACGGAACATGTTTGCGCTGCAGCAAGAGAACTCCGCCAGACCATCTCTGACTGTGCTCAAATCCGCTCTGTGTTTTGAGCGGTGTATATTGAGCATAGTTCTCTTGCTGCAGAGGACACCCAGTAAGGAAATATGGTGGTGAGTGAAGACACTCTGAAGCACTACCAAGTAAAATGAATAAAATAATAAAAAACAAGGAGAAGTGTAATAAAAAACGCACACTCAAAGTGGTAGTGCGGCTGCGACTTGAAACAACTATTTTCGCATCTAGCAGCCCAAGCTTCCGTTACTAATACCAATATGTCATTTTAGAACTAATAACAGAATCGTTGCTATGCAGTTATTGAAGAGAAGGCATCGCTTATGAGTGGCTTTCCCGAAACTATTTTATTGATAATGTCACTTGTGCTTAAATGGCTTGTTGTGTGTGGGAGAGAGACAGAACGCACTGTCCACATCAGTGGATTTTCAAACTGTTTGATGTCAAAACCCCACGAATAGGCTATAGTAATACTAATGGTTTATTTCCTAAATTATAAAAGTAGCTATAACTTCTTACATGTAAAGACCCACTACAGTGAGAGTAAAATACTAAGCATAGTAAATGTAATACCATTCAAAAGTTTTAGAAATCTGCCATTTTTAATGTTTTTAAAAAAGTTTTTTCTGCTCTCCAAGGCTGCATTTATTGGATCCAAAATACAGCCAAAACAGTAAAATTGTGAAATATTTTGACAATTTAAGATAACTGTTTTCTATTTTGAATATATGTTAAAATATTACTTATTCCTGTGTTGGCAGTCTGAATGTTCAGCATCGTTACTCCATTCTTCAGTGTGGTCCTTCAGAAATCATTCTAATATGCTGATTTGCTCCTAAGGAAA